TTTGAAATTTCATCTTCTTTTTTTATTTCTTTTGTTTCGATAATTGATGATGATTTAGGTTTAGACGCTGCTACTGGTTCATTCGTTGTCGATTGTGCAGGATTTTTGAAAAATGATGTTATTGATTTTTGATTTTTAGTACTTTTCGACATAATTATTTAATAAGATAAATCTTAAAATATAGAAAAAAAAATATATAGATAATCTAGTAAAAACTTAAATAGTTGTTAAGTGAATCATAAAAGAAAATAAAATAAATATTATCACTACACTTGAAAAATAAAACAAAAGAAATTATAATGTAGTAGATTTTTTCAAAACGAAATGTTGTGCATCAATAGTTGAGGATGATGATGCAAGTCCTTGTCCATCGTTCGTTAATTGCAATATCCATTGATCACTACCCTATAATCGTAAAGATAAATAGAATTAAATATATATTTAAAAAACAAAACCAAGAAAAATATTCTTGATTACATAGCTCGATTAACATGCACATTTTCGTTTATTCGAATGTTAACAATATAGAATAAAATAAAAAAAATAATAACAATAACAATGAAATGGTCAGTCGATTTGCTAACTTAAATATTATCTGTACTGTTTTTAACATAATCCTAATTAGAAAACAAAACAACAAGTTATCGAATTAATGATCTATAATCAATGTTAATCTAATTGTTTATTAACATTAAAATGAAATTACTAATTTTTCATGCACTATGACATAGCATGTGCATTGAGATATACCCACCAAATACATGATGAAATTTGTAGAATACTAATCAGTTTTCACAATGTACCTTGGGCATTGTATATCCTTTTGCAATGCAATATTCTTTAAAACCACAACGAACAATTGAGCAAATAGTTTGATCACGAATTTTACAATAAAGACGAATATCATATTCAAGAAATGTTTGTGGTAAAAGTGTAGAAACCTATTAATGAAATATATATGTTCATACATAATTAAAATTCATTATATCAAACCTGTTCTTTTAATATTTTTGTTGCCGTATTAGGATACATTTTTGTATAAAACCACATATTTTGAATTGGATCTTCGCCTCGATCACCACAAGTTAATTCAACTGTCTAAAAATATTTAATTTACTATTCACATAATCATCGAAGAAAGGCAAATATACATTATGAATCTGAAAAACTTCATTAGTATCAGTCAAAAATATTACTCACAAGAGAAGATACTCAACTAATTAGTTCATTGCTTCGGAGGTCTGTACTATGTATATCAGAGAGACTTTGAATATTCTGAGAAAATTTCGAATAATATATCGCACTTTTACGATATTTTTAAAGTCAATACCTTGATCATCCTCAGAACCATTAGAAAAATTCGTTTTCATATTTGATGAAAATTTTGCATAGGTATTTGTTAATTTTGTAGATCTAACACTACAAAATACAGTTTATTAATTAAGTTATAAATAATCGTCATGAAGTTAATCATATTAAGAATTTGTCGTGACTAAAATTTGGTAAAGCGGCTACGTCAGTCTCTAATACTGCGTATTACCAATACATGACAACTCGGATGATCTGCCCATCTTGAAACATAAGTTTTTCTCTAAAAAAGTTCCAGCATTTTTTCTTTCTTTGCTTGTCAACTCCAAAAAACAGCGAGCACTTTCACCCCTAACTTCTAGTGACTTCAGGACATATTTTATGATAATATATTCTCTAATCAATATTTACCTGTATAACAAGATCATTTGGTGTAATATTCAATATATTTCCATCGCATTGACAATATTTGATAATATCTTGACAAGTATTTTTGCTTGATTTCTGAAAATTAATCAGTTTTTTTTTTCGAATTAAATTACAAATCTTTATATTGATTTTTTTTTTAACCTGTTTGAAATCTATTGTTGATTTAACATGTGTATTTCCAATATAACGATAAATTTCTAGAAGAAATTTTTCATAATATTGATTTATAAAAAAAAAAACAAATACTTCTTTTTTAAAATAATCATTCTTACCTCGACGTTCAATTTTTCGAATGATTTCTTTTGCTTTAGTCATATTTGGATGATGTGAATGTTTTATTAATGTTATTATATGATCATCAACTTGACTAAATGTATACATATCATCAATAGTTTGAGCTAGATGTATACTACATCGTCTTAAAAATTCAAATAAATTATTTAATTAGAAAGAAAAAATAACATGTTTTTTTTAATATTACCCTGCTGCATCAGAAAACAATAAATAATCATTAGCTGCAATTAATGCTTCTCTAAGCCTATAAATTAATATAATTCTTATAAAACTATTATTGACATCAGCATTCAAGATACTCGGATATTTTCTGAATAACTTTTCATAGGAAATAGGTAGGGAACGTGCGGTTTCGAATGTATGATAACTAAGGACATTTTTTTCGTGAAAAAAAAAGTCGAAGATCGATTTTACGAACATCTCACTAGACTTATGAAAATTGTCATAGGAGTCTATTGAATTTTTTACTTGGATTGTTAGTAGATATTTTATGTTACAAAGTTTATAAAAATGCCTGATATGTTTAAGGTTTTCAAAGGGAATTTCGTTTATGAAAAACTGCCTTTAGATCTTGGTTATCCAATGTGAAAATAACGTGAATCTCTATCTTAGAAAATTATTCAAACAAAATTCGAATGCTTTGAATTCTAGCGATGATAATAGAATGATAAAAAGAAACTTTTATTTTTACATTAATTCAATTCCTTTAACAACTGGATGTTGATATGCACGTCGATGAAGATCATCTCGAATTCGATAAATTTCATAACAAGCTTTAACTTCCTTAAGAAAATAAAAATATTATTTTGATTTATTTTAATAATGAAAGAGCAAAAAACAAAAAAAAAAAACTAAATTTACTTTATCACGTAAACATAAATGACGTCTACCATTATTAACTTTAATTACTCGATAGAATTTAATAAAACGCATATGTTCAAATGAAATTTTTGTTCCCAAATAATATGAATCACGTGCAAAATAATCAAATTTATCAACATCAATACCAGTTAATTTATTAGATACAATCTAAATATAAATATAATAATCAATAAATCAATCAAATATTAATATTCATACTTCGTAAAGAAATGATTTACTTATATCACGACCTTTGTATGGCCAAACCTTGAACAAAATAAAGAAATTTTTAAAAAATTCTAATCATAACTTGAGACAATCAACAAGCGCCTATCGGATAGATCTCGTATCCGCGTTCGATCTGATGGAGGTAAGAGTCAATTAGTATTTGATTCTTATCCCATTACTATCTCAATTTCCTAAGAGTTTTGACAACTGTTATTTACCGAATATAAATAATTGAAAAAAAGTAAATCATATGCTTTCGAAGCAACTATTTGATTCTTGAAACAAACAACTAAGTTAAATCATTATCAAAAATAAATTTTAAAGTCTTAGCAAATACCTTCATCATCTTAATGAGAATAAACTGGGATCCGAACTTTATAATCTTCTCGAATTTACTTCGAGACTAGTGAAATAAAATTAATTCAAGGCTTTTTTTTATCTTTCGTCCCTACATATTCATATTTTTTTAAAATGAACAACTGTTTTACTTTGAAAGAAATGCTTGAATGCACACTACAGCTCAGTTCAATATCTCAGAAATGTCCGCAAGACAAAACGATCGATGTTGATAAGTTTTAACCTGTTCAAAAAAAGGACTTATACGATAAAGAAAACTATTGGCTCATCATTTTCAGATTTTTAAGTTTCTCATTACTTTTGAACAAAAATCGAGGAGAAATATTCTCTAACTGATTAATATACTTTTAAATATATGATGCATCTTGTCTCGATTAAAAAGTGATTAGTCAATAAAGAGACTTCCATTCATGATATTTCATCTATTTTCTATTATAGATTCACCTGATCACTTTCTTGTCCATTTAATTCACTGAAAATAAGTTCGTTTACAAAAATAATATCAATTTGATTAAGTCCAACTTGTTCAAAAAATGGCATTAAATTATTTTTTTCAATTATATAATTAAACATTTGAACTGAAGCATGTTCATGCTAAAATATATTTATTTTTTTCATATCAAACAAATTAAAAATTATTTACTTTCCAATGTATCTGTGGTCGAAGTTCTGCAATAACAGTTTCGAACATATGAGAAAATGGACCATGACCTATAGATTATTAAAAAAAAAAATCATTCAAATAAATCAATAATTCATTCATAGAAAATAACCAAGATCATGACAAAGAGCAGCCATTTGAACACATAAACTATCTTTTTCTGTTATATTTAATTCTGGTTGTTTTTGACGAAGATGCATTAATAATTCTCCAGCAAGATAACATGTTCTAAAAACATAAAAATAAATTATTATTTTGTATGACATATTAAATTAAATTTTCTTTTGTAAATTACCCAATTGAATGTTCAAATCGTTGATGACATGCACCGGGATATACATAATATGATGCTCCAAGTTGTTTAAGACGTCGAAGTCTTTGAAATTCTGGTGTATCTATTATTTTAACAAGTAACCAATGTAATTCAATTGAACCATGAATTGGATCATTAAAAATCTATTTTGAATAAATCAAAAATCAAAAATCAAAAATTGAATAAAATGATACTTTTGTATCTTGAATTGAACTAAAGAAGAAAAAAAAAAAAAAACGAAAGAAAATTTTTATTCTTTTTCTTCTGAATTATTTTTTTATTTTCAATTAAAATCAACTGACTTGTCTTGATATGAATCTATCAATATTGGTGATATTTCAAGATCACTTGTTATTTCTAATTTATATCGTTTAGCTGATGGCGAATCTTCACTGTCAGACATGATTCAAAAACTATTATTTACATCTGAAGATAATCAATATTTTATTTTATTATCACAATTAAATTATCTTATTGTTAATCATTAAAAGAATTACAAAAAAAAAGAAAAGAAAAGAATCAAAACGCAAATAATGTTAGATGTATGAATTAATATGACGATTGAACAAATTGCAAATCAAACCTAAAAAACAAAAAAAAAGAATATACAGAATTTATTAAATATCAATACATTGACTTCCTTATTAAATACGGTTGTAAACAGAGATATCCATGACGGCGCTGCCGCTACCGCCACCGCGGCAGCGGCGCGATAGCTTTTTTTTATTGTTTAATAGCTCAGGTGAATAATTTCGGCACTCGAATCTGTGAGTGTTCGAAAAGTTCCTGATAAAAAGATGAATTGTTGTTTGTTTCTCCTTGATCTGGGAATAGTAGGAATATGGAAACAAAAAGCCGGTGATCAAATTTTTATAGTTCCGAACAGAGCTAGACAACAGATTTCTGCTTTCAATTTACGACCGTACACTATATAAAGCGATAGTATATAATACCTTTTTTAAACTTCTCAAGGACTACAATCATTATCTTAAGTGGGTAATCTATTGGCAGTAGTGAGGAAAAAAAACATATGCGCAATATGAGTTTCTTACCATTCGTTTATTTCTCCAGCTTGACTATCAAGATTATTCAATGGAATTGATATCTTAATATATAAAACAAAAAATGAATAGTTAATATGTGTGTGTTTTTCGAAAGCAAATTTTTCATACTTCTCGATCTCGAGGTGCAACTGGATCAGTATTATTAGTTGCATAAATATATAAATTATGTTTAATAGCATTCTCAAATGTAGTACAAAATGTCATTGGTTCTTTCCATATAATAGGTGCATTTTCTACTATAACTCTTACATGTTTTTCTGTAACATCTTCATTATTATATGGTCCAATTAATGTAAATTTTAAACACATTTCACGTGAATATACTTGTTCAGGTTCTATTAAACCTTGAGCATTAAGTATTTGAACAATTAATTTACTACGTTCATTATCATATCGAATTGATAAATGTAAACGACCAGGTTTTGAATCTGGATGTACAACTGGATCATATTCATATTCATCATTTTGATCTTCAATAGTAATATCATCAGAAGGTTTATTAAATACTTTTAAATCATTTTCAACTGAATCATTATGATGTTCACTTTCAACATCAGTAGCAGATTTATTCGATATAAATGAATCATGTTTAGCAATACGTAAACGTAAATCTTCATTTTGTAAACGAGATATATCGGATATTTCATATATTATTTCACCAGATGAATGACGATCACGAGTAAGAATATATTTTTCAGAATCATAATTAAGTATTTCATTTAGTTCACCACGTGGTATTGGTTGTTCATTATCTAAACCTTGCATATTTGATGTACTACATTCTTTAAAATTTTCCTCCTATAAATAAACATAATACTTGTTTTATTAATTATTCAAATATGAGAAAAAAAGCAAAATCATTTTTCTTACATCTTTCTCTTCATATGTTAACCAAGAAATGATATATAATAAAATAGTTATTATTGAACAAATAGTTACTGCTATACATAAGTCACAACAATTTATAGTCATTTTTTACTTTTAGACTCACTATCAATACGAAAATGGAAGAAAATACTACATTTATATATATATATATAATACGATATGATAGTAATCTGGATTTGAATAAAGTTCATTGGTTAATTCTTAATTTTTTGATAGATGTCATTTTGAATTATAAAAAAAAAAAAAATTATTTTAATACAAAAAAAAAAGATCTAAGAAAATATTTTAAAAATTTAAAAAAAAAAAATTTCTTTTAAACAAAAAAAAAAAAATCTCTATTTGTAAGTGAAGGTTAACGAAATAAATGTGAAAAAATAAACAATATGACGGCGAATACGAATTATTAAAGAGATAATTATATTCATTATTACTGTTTACAACATAAACATATATTTTATTCATTTTTAGATCTTTTGTTTTTTTATAAATGCCGGCAAAAGCAGCTCAACCAAAAAAAAAAGAAAAAGAAGCATCCGGTGGTAGTTCATCTGGTGCTAAAGCTAAAAAGAAGAAATGGTCAAAAGGAAAAGTTCGCGATAAACTTAACAATATGGTTCGTCTTTTATTTTTCATTATGAAAAACTTCTTCTTTTTTCTCTTGATAGGTCTTATTCGATAAAGCAACTTATGATAAATGTGTTAAAGATTTACCACAATATAAATTAATTACACCGGCTATTGTTTGTGAACGTTTTAAAGTTCGAGGTTCTCTTGCTCGTTCAATAATACGTGAACTTGTTCGTCGTGGTCTTATACGATCTGTTGTTAAACATAGTAGACAAGAAATTTATACACGATCAACAAAAGAAGATGCACCAGGTGATCAAGATATTGGTAAAGAAGGTACAAGTGAAAAGAAAGTGGCGCCGGTAAAAAAGGGGCCAAAAAAACAAGCTAAAGCTGATGCAACAGCTGCAGCTGAAGATGCTTTAGCTGAATAAATTAAATATCTTCTACTTTAACAACAACAATTTTGTTTGTTTTAAAATAAAAATACAAAAAACATAAGAAGAAGAGAAAAAAACAAAACAAAACACAATTTTATTAATAAGAAAATTGATATATTTCCTTTTTTTTTTTCTAGATGTCTTCAACTTTAACTAATAATCCACAAACTAAAAGAAAAGAAATTTATAAATATGAAGCACCATGGATGGTCTATGCTATGAATTGGTCAATTAGACCTGATAAACGTTTTCGTCTTGCACTAGGATCATTTGTTGAAGAATATAATAATAAAGTAAAACAAAAAAAACAAATTTATTATTTAATATTTTTTTTTTTTTTGGTGTTCAGGTACAAATTGTTACACTCGATGAAGAAACATCAGAATTTATAGCACGTTCAACATTTGATCATCCTTATCCAACAACAAAAGTCATGTGGATACCTGACACTGTAAAAAAAAGAAAACAAAAAATAATTAATTCTAAATATTTTTTGATATTTTTAATAGAAAGGTGCATTTCCAGATTTATTAGCAACAAGTGGCGATTATTTACGTGTTTGGCAAACAGGAGATAGTGGAACTCGACTTGAATGTTTACTAAATAATGTAAGGAAAAAAAAATAGATATTCTAGTTGTCGATAGTAGGAACACGCCTGAGAACTGTAGACTAAACTTTTATGTTATAGTAATTTGATGAATTCATTTGATTTAAGCAACATATGTTTAAACTGAATGCTGTAGGATTTATATGAACTATTGCGAAAATTGATCGGGTAATGTAAATGCACCTTCGTTCTATGTCTTGAGGTTAACAAGATTGAAGATCAAACCCTTGTTGTGAGGATTGACCATCTTCATTATACGTACTGATATTGAGAAAATGTGTTCAGTAGGAGAAATGACATACGAAATTTTCTAAGATTGAAAGGAAGACATTCCTATTTACCTAATCACATGTTGTTTTTTTTTGCTATTATGATTTTCGATTATGCGAAATAAAAAGCATTTTGTTTATGAAATGAACTAAGACAGAAAAAGATAATCTATCGACAGTTCGGATAGATACTAAGTGAAATAAAAATTTTTCTAATGAAAGTCTTCATTATATTAGATGATATATATATATGAAATTCTCTTTTTTTTTTTTAGAATAAAAATTCTGATTTTTGTGCACCATTAACATCATTCGATTGGAATGAAGTTGATCCAAATTTAATTGGTACATCAAGTATAGATACAACATGTACAATATGGGGTCTTGAAGTAAAAAATATTCCAATTAAAAAAAAAAGGAAAAAAAAATATTCTTTTATTAGACAGGACAAGCTATTGGTCGAACAAATCCTGTTAGTGGACATGTTCGTACACAATTAATAGCACATGATAAAGAAGTATATGATATAGCATTTAGTCGTGGTGGTGGTGGTCGTGATATGTTTGCATCAGTTGGTGCTGATGGTTCCGTACGAATGTTTGATTTACGTCATTTAGAACATTCAACAATTATTTATGAAGATCCTCAACATCATTCATTATTACGTCTTGCTTGGAATAAACAAGATCCAAATTATTTAGCAACATTTGCTATTGATTCAATGGAAATAATTATACTTGATGTACGAATACCATGTACACCAGTTGCTCGTCTTAATAATCATCGATCAGGTGTTAATGGTATTGCATGGGCACCACATTCAGCATGTCATATTTGTACTGCTGGTTAGTTGTAGTAGTAGAATGAAGTTTTTTTTTTGTAAGAAGAAAAAAGTAAGAAATATGTTTGTTTGTTTTTTTTTGTTTCTAGGTGATGATCGACAAGCATTAATATGGGATATACAACAAATGCCACGAGCTATTGAAGATCCAATTTTAGCTTATACAGCTGAAGGAGAAATAAATCAAGTACAATGGAGTACAACACAACCAGATTGGATTGCAATTTGTTTTAACAATTTTCTCGAAATATTACGTGTATAGTTTCATTTTCTTTTTTCTTTTTCTTCTCGTTTATTGTAGATTAGTCTATTATTTTATCACTCTTTTCTACATATATATATATTATATAAATAACAAATGTGTTCAGATTCGTTTTCTTTACTAACTGTACAGTTCTTGTATTTTCCTGAATGATGGAAATCTCACTTCCGATAAATAATAGCAGAGAGTTTGTTTCGTTTTTTTTTTTTTTTGTGTAACAAAATACATAAAAATAATTCAAACTAAAAGATGGCGTAAGAATAAGGAAATTTGTTTTTTTTTTTTTTTTCTAATTTCAACATCAATATGAAGGACAATTTTTGTACTTTAACACAACCAATCATAGACACTTTGTGACTATGCATATAAATAGTGTGACACACATTGTATAGTATGTCATTTTAGATTCTTTTTTCTGTTGGTTACTTATATTGAACTTCAATTATGTCTGGACGTGGCAAAGGTAAGTAAATTTTTTTTTTGAGATAGAAGAAATGAAACTTGTAAATGATTTTCTTTTTATTCAGGTGGAAAAGGTCTTGGTAAAGGTGGTGCTAAACGACATCGTAAAGTACTTCGAGATAATATTCAAGGTAAGTGATTGAGATAATTTAGTTGAATTCGACTTCATTTAATGCATAGATAATTTAAGTGTCAAAGAAAAACAATTCTAAATTTATTTTTATAATTGAATGAGATCCTACATAATTTTCTTTTGCAATTTATCGACTATATCATGTCAAAAATATTCTAGATTGATTTGTGGTTTTGAGATTTCATATAGATGTCGTTGGTGTATCAAATATATAGGATGAAAAAGCTTTTGATAATAATGAAAGAATCTTTCCATTAGGAATGTAGCTAGGAATTTGCTAACCGAGATGCGTAGGCAGGTCTTACTCGTCTGATGTCAAATCGCTTTTCGATTGAAAAGCAATTTAACATCTGAACAAATTCTCTCTATAATTTTGATAATTTTTTTTTTTGTTTTATAGGCATAACTAAACCAGCTATTCGTCGTTTGGCTCGACGAGGTGGTGTTAAACGTATAAGTGGTTTAATCTATGAAGAAGTACGTGGTGTATTAAAAATATTTTTGGAAAATGTTATTCGAGATGCTGTTACATATACTGAACATGCAAAACGTAAAACAGTTACAGCAATGGATGTTGTCTATGCTCTTAAACGTCAAGGTCGTACACTCTATGGTTTTGGTTCATAAAAACCAACTATAAAAATAATGAATGAAACAAGCATAGATTTATTATTTACAAAAAAACAAAAAAAAAAAGTATCTTTGGATGTTGAATGTTGTCTATGAGTACTTTAATTATTGTAAATTTCTCTTTTTCTGTCTTTATTCCTATTATGTTTTCATTTATCTTCTTTTGCATGTATTGTATTGTCTAGAACTAATGGGTTTTCTCTTGTCTTTATGTTTGCAAATAAAATAGAAATCAAACTTATTCTTATCAGATAATAATTCAAAAGAGAGAGAGCGATGAGTTCAAAATGTCGGTAGAGCCGGCTAATTAATTGACGTTAGTTTCGGTTGATTATTCTGTCATCGATAGTAATGCAAACAAGCGTACGACTACTGTGTATTGATTATTTGTACGAAGAAAAATAAGCAATCATTTCGTAACTGTTCGATCGATGTTGAAAACATCCCGGGAGTCCTCCAAATGACTAATCGCTTTTGAACTAGAGACATGTGCATTATGTAGACCATAATGAGTTATGAATATACTGAAAAGAGTTCGAACCTATGGATTTTTGCTGCTGACAAATTACATTTTTTATTACAATGCTGTGGTTTCCGTAAGAAACATAGGAATATTGAATTTTGACTTAAAAATGAAACCTAATGAGAATAATTAATCACGAAAATATCAAACCATTTGATTTATACCTGTTCTCAAATACGAAATCTACGGCTGTATATGAGCAATATAAAATACACAGTTTTATCATGAGATTGAAACAACGAAAAAATCTAAAATTTTCATAATAAATAATTCTCGTTAAGTTTTGTTTCTATGCAAAGTCTCAAGTCGAACTTTGAAATTTAATTGACTTGTATGTTTTTGTTTACTCAAGATCATCATGTTTATTTTATAACACACACAAAAAAACAAAAACAATTGATCATCGTTGAAATAAGATGAAAAGTTCATAATGAGGTGTATGTGGAAATAAATCAACAGCTGTTGTTGTTATAACTTCAAATGGTTCACCTTGATAAGCTCTTGATCGTGGACGAGTTAAACTAGAAAATAAAATTTATAGAATTGTTTTTTTGTTAAAAAAAGAACAAGAAATATTTTACTCAATAAGATTATGTGTTGCTAATTGTGGATTACATGCAATATAACCTAAGACTTTGATATTTTCAGCTGAACGTAATGTTTGAATTACTTTTCGATCTACGAAGAAAATAATATTTTTTTTTGTTTTGTAAAAAATATACATACGAACACCAGCCCGTGGTGGATCAAGAATAGCAACAAGTCGTTGTTGATCATATTTATTTACTAATTTATGAATTATATTTTCAATTTTTTCAGCAATAAAATCAATATTATTAATATCTAAATGACAACTTATGTAAAATCTTGAAAAAAAAAAAAAAAAGAAGTTCTATTCTTACTATTTAATTGAGCATTACGTTTTGCATCTTCAACAGCATCTTTATTCATTTCAATTCCAACAACATGTTTAACATTCTAAAATAAAATATTTTCTCTTCTTAGAAAATTTTATCTATAATTCGTTTTTTTTTTACATTTGCTAATGTAATACCAATTGTTCCTGTTCCACAACATATATCAAGTACAATAGTTTCATTATCTAATTTCATTGAATCTTTTATTAATGAATAAAGTACTTCAGCTCCTTGTGTATTAGCTAAAATGAAAATAGTTCGAATAAAATTATGTATTTTGAAATTCATACCTTGAAAAAATGCTTTAGCTGATACATGAAATTGAAAATCAAATAATTTTTCAACAATA